GGGGGTGCTGGTGCTGTCGGTGCTGGTTCTGGAGGCGTTGTACGGCCGTGACCGTACTTCGTTCCACTGCTTCAGCAGGTTCTTGGTCTCCCGCCTTCTACTAGCCTTACTCCTCCCTTACTGTGTCCACCGCCTGACTAGTCCCAGCCGCAGTTATAGCCAGCCTCCCCACTGCTTGCTCCTTCTCCTTACACTGAGCAGCCCAGAGGTCTTACAGAGCGTCGTGAGCCTGCGTCTCGTCCTGCGTCGCCTATTCGCGCTGCTCGCACTAGTCGTCGTGTTCCGCATGAGCGTCCTCCTCCTGACCCCGGCACGCGCCAGATGGCAATTCGTCCTTCCTCTGTTCCACTGCGTATCCCTCTGCCTTCTCTTCCTGCGTCCTCCCTTGCTGATGATCCGGACCCGGAGTCTTACTTACTTCGTGCTGCCAGCCCTAGTGTCACGCGTCTGCTAGCCACTATTGTCACTGACCCTTCGTTTGAGGCCACTACTGCGTCTGCTCTTGTTGCTGAGCTTGTTGACTTTGCTGCCGCCTGTCGCCTTGACTACGCCGCTAGTCTTGTTGCTGAGTCTGAGTCTGTCTGTCCTCCGTCCGTCGGGGGTGAGTGTGCTCTTGGCACGAACGTCCTTGAGGATAGGCAGGAGGACTTTGACTGTTTTGCAGCTGCTGTACCTCATCTCGTGTCCATGCTGATTGCACCCGAGGGAGACCCGGATGCACCAGACATCCCGACCCCGCGCTCTTACGCAGAGGCGATTGAGTGTCCCTACTCCTCTCAGTGGCAGTCAGCCATGGACGCAGAGATGGCATCCCGGAAGTCCACAGGCACGTACGTCGACGAGGTTCCCCCGCCTGGGGCGAACATCGTCAGTGGCATGTGGATTTTCAGGGTGAAGCGGCCGCCGGGTTCTCCGCCTGTCTTCAAGGCACGTTACGTTGCACGAGGCTTCAGTCAGCGACAGGGAGTTGACTTCTTCCAGACCTTCTCCCCTACCCCAAAGATGACCACTCTTCGGGTGCTGCTGCATGTCGCCGCTCAGCGTGACTACGAGCTTCACTCTCTTGACTTCAGCACTGCTTTCCTACAGGGTAGCATGCACGATAAGATCTGGCTGTGCCGCCCACCAGGCTTCACTGGGTCGTTTCCTGCAGGTACCCAGTGGAGCCTCCGGCGGCTAGTCTACGGTCTCCGCCAGGCGCCTCGCGAGTGGCACGACACACTGAGGACGACACTTGCGGCTCTTGGGTTTGCTCCTTCGACTGCTGACCCGTCGCTGTTTGTGCGCACCGACACTTCGCTGCCGCCGTTCTACATCCTCGTGTACGTCGACGACTCGGTCTTTGTCAAACTGTAATTCTATAGTTTGTGTAGTTCTAGTCTAGGTGTTCTCCCTTGTGTTATTTTGTACTTGCACTAGGGTTAGGTTTTGCATATATCTTGTTTGTACTTTCTGTTTTAGTCATTCATTACATTGTAACATGGTATTGAGCTTGGTTCACCCTAGCGAGATTTTTCCCCTTAGGAAATTCTCTCAACTAAGTTATGGGCCCACCTAGACGCGCCCCGTACTAGATAGTCACCCATAGCGCTCTTAGCCTGCCCGTCGCCCGGTTCCCCCCCCCCCCCCCCCCCCACGCCGTCGCTCGTCGCCCGTTTCCCCCAGTTGCGCGTTGCCCGTTTTCTCCCCGTCATCCGTCGCCCATCGATTTACGGGCGCGCCTCGCGGCTGACCGTTAGAAGGCCCCGCGGCCATTTCGATAGCGGGCCCCTTGGCCATTTCGATAGCGGGCACCGCGGCCCTTACGATAGCGGGCCCCGCGGTCCCGTCGTTAGTCGCACGCACGCACAGAAGCAGCCGCGCGCACGTGCAAATCGTCGCCCCACCCGTTACCCGCCGCCTTAAACGCTGCCCCACCCTTTTACCACTGCCTTACCCGCCGCCCCATCTGTTAGCCGCCGCCCCACCCGTCACCGGTCGCCCCACGAGCTGAAACCGCCACCACACCTGAAATCCGCCGCCCCACGAGTTGAAACCGCCACCACACCTGAAATCCGCCGCCCCACGGATTGAAACCCGCCGCCCCACCTGACACCCGCTGCCCCACCAGTTAGCCTCAGCCCCACCAACTAGCAACACCTGGAAACCAGAGTCTACCACCCGTACCCGCAGAACCGCACAGAATCGCACAGAACCGCACAGAATCGCACTCCACCCGTGCTAGCTCCCCTGGAACTGCACAGAACCGCGCTCCACCCGTTCTAGCTCCCCTGGATCCGCACACAACCGCACAGAACTGCACAGAACCGCACTCCACACATACTAGCGTAGGCTACCCCCCCCCCCCCCCCCCCCCAGCAGAACCAGCAGCAGCATAGTAGGCTACCCCCAGAGCACCAGCAGCAGCTTAGGCTGCCCCCCAGCAAAACCAGCAGCAGCATAGGCTGCCCCCAGCAGAACGAGCAGCAGCTTAGGCTGCCCCCAGCAGAACCACCAACAGCGTAGGCTGCCCCCAGCAGAACCAGCAGCAGCATAGGCTGCCCCCAGAGCACCAGCAGCAGCTTAGGCTGCCCCCAGCAAAACCAACAGCAGCGTAGGCTGCCCCCAACAGAACGAGCAGCAGCTTAGGCTGCCCCCCAGCAGAACCAGCAGCAGCGTAGGCTGCCCCCAGCAGAACCAGCAGCAGCTTAGGCTGCCCCCAGCAGAACCACCAGTGGCATAGGCTGCCCCCAGCAGAACCAGCAGCAGCATAGGCTGCCACCAGCGCACCAGCAGCAGCTTAGGCTACCACCAGCGCAACCCCCCCCCGTATCTAGCTCCTCAGATGGCGTTTACTAGGGTTCTACAGCAGCAGGGCCAGCCGCAGCACTCCCGGCAGTGGGGACCTGCGGGTCCAAAGTGTGGCGCCCCCAGCAGTGGCTCAACTGGCAGTGGGCGAGACGTCGGCCCCTGCGGGTACTGGGCCCTGACAGGCCCTGGTGCTGGCACTACCTGCTGGAGTCCTGACTACTCTGCGTCCAGCTGCTACCGTCGACTCGACGACCTCCACCGTGAACGTTTTGGTCCTCACGCTATTACACCGCACTGGCCCTCGCGTCTTCGCCAGCGCACTGCTGCACCAGTTGAGTCTCACCTGCCTGGTCTAGGACCGTTCCCAGCTGCACGAGTAGAGACCTGCGTTTCCACTCTTGGTGCGTGTGTTGTTTCCAGTCCAGGCGCCTCTGAGGGTCTTTGTGTAGGAGCTGCAGCTACCACTAGTCTAGCACCAGCCTTTGTAGCTGGTTCGGGTGCGACCCCACAGACTGCACAGCTTTCCTTCACCCTAGACTCTGGAGCGTCGAGCTGTTTCTTTCGCGACTGTACTGACCTCACACCACTGTGCACTCCATTTACTGTCGCCTTGGCTGACCCCTCTGTGGGACGTGTAGTTGCTCGCAGCACCACCACTCTCCCGTGTCCGGCAGCTCCCTCAGGTTTTCTTACAGGTTACTACACCCCCTCGTTCTCTAGGAACCTGGTGGGTGTTAGTCACCTCCACGACCTAGGTATAGTCACCACTTTCCCACTGGACGAGCCTGTTGCCTCCTGCACAGTCGGTACCACTGGGGCCCCTTTGGCACTTTTCACAGGGAGCCGGGCTCTGGTCTGTACTCACTACACACTGGGTCCCACCGCACTGGGTCGGGCCAGGTCAGGCCAGGTAGCTGCTGTGTCGTGCGACTGTCTCTCCCTCACCCACCCGTCTGTCCTCTGGCACCACCGTCTAGGTCACCCGTCGTTCCCACGTCTCAGTAGGATGGCACGTTACCGTCTGGTCTCAGGTCTCCCAGAGTCGCTTGCCCCGCTTCCTCGCTCTCCTGCGCCGCTGTGCACTCCTTGCGTCGAGGGTCGGCAGCGCGCTGCCCCTCACTCCTCCTCGTTCCCCCCCACCACAGCTCCCTTCCAGACCCTGCACTTGGACGTCTGGGGCCCCTCCCCGGTCCTTGGACCACGTCAGGAGCGCTACTTCCGGATTGTGGTGGACGACTACTCCCGCTACACCACGGTTTTCCCCTTGCGACGGAAGGCCGACGTGCCTACCGTCCTAGAGCCGTGGCTACTAGCGTGGGGTGGTGCCCAGGGTCTGTGTGGGCTTCGCCTACACTCGGACCGTGGTGGTGAGTTTTCTTCCACTCGTTTGGAGACGTTCTGTCAGGGTCGGGGAGTCAGTGCGCGACTTCAAGTCGCAGAAGAAGGTGCGCGACTTCAAGTCGTAGAAGAAGGTGCGCGAATTCAAGTCGCAGAAGAAGGTGCGCGACTTCAAGTCGCAGAAGAAGGTGCGCGACTTCAAGTCGCAGAAGAAGGTGCGCGACTTCAAGTCGCAGAAGAAGGTGCGCGACTTCAAGTCGCAGAAGAAGGTGCGCTCAACCTACCTCCTCCGTGTGTGTACCGTGTGCTTGTGATTGGATTCGCTCCTCTTGCCCCAACCGCTGGCCAGGCAGCTTGAGAATCCCACCGTGGGCAAACTTAATTATTCTCGGGCTCCTGGCTCCCGTGCCGTGCCTTCCCCCCTGGCAGGTGGTGAAGCCGAAGCTGGCGCGGCCGGGGAGGGTGCCGGTGACAGCAGCGGAGTGGGGGCCTGATGGCCGCCTCGTGGCTGCTGGCCTCAACGATGGCTCGCTGCAGGTAGGGCATGGCCATGGCGTGGCTGGCAGGGCGAGGCGTAACGGGGCCTGGCGTGGCGGGGCGTGGCAAGGTGTGGTGTGGTGTGGTGTGGTGTGGAGAGAGGAACGGGGCATGTGAGGCATGTATGGTAGTGGCGTTGCCCTTAGCTGGTGCGGCATTAACGACACAACACATGGCGTCACCTGCCATGGCATGACGTCCACCTTTTGTTTATACCTCGCATGTCTTGCTCACACGCGTGTGTGCTGTGCGGCTGCCTCTCAATGTGCGGCTGCCTCTCACTGTGCTGCTGCCTCTCACTGTGCTGCTGCCTCTCACTGTGCCCCACTGCGCAGAGCCCTCCGTACCCCCGCCCGTCCTCCGCCACTGCTCCTCTCACTGCCCTTGGTCAACCCCCCCATGTATGACAGGTGTGGAATGTGAAGTCAGGGTGAGGATCGCTGCCGGACCTGCTGTGTACCGATGCACATGAGAGGGGCGACGACATCACGGGCATCGCCTTCTGCTCTGATTCCTCCCTTCTCGTCTCTCGCTCCATGGATGGCACCATGAAGGTGACGTGGATGGCACCATGAAGGTGACGTGGATGGCACCATGAAGGTGACGAGTGCGCTGCACGCATGCATGCATGGAAGGAAGGAGTTGAGGGTGGAGGTGTGTGGCGTGAGTTGAGGGTGGAGGTGTGTGGCGTGAGTGTGCATCCAGCCACCTCCACACTGTGGAGTGGACTGCCCCTCCCACCGTTGCATGCTGGAAGCACCTTCAGCTCCCACTCTCCTGCTCTGCCTTGAGTGAGCTACTCCCGTGCACTCCTAGTCTCCTGTGAGGGTGCCTGTGGAGGAGCACCCCAATCACTCTCAACACTCCAATTCTTCTTCTTCTCTCCTTCACTTCCCCCATCCCTCCTGTCCTTTTCCATCTCTTCCTCATCCCTTTTCATCCCCTTCACTTCCCTTATGCCGCCCACCCTGAACGTATGTCATATTTCCCTTATCCCTGTTTCCCCTGTTCCTTAACCCCTCTTATTCCACCCCCCCCTCCCCCGCCCTCTTATCCCCCCCCCCCAACCATCATATCTTACCAATATCTTATTCTCCTTGTCCCTTATCCCCCCTTTTCCGTATCCCCATTGTACCTTATTCATCCCTTTCGTTTCCCCGTTTCCCCTTCTTCTACCATCCCCCTGTTGTCACCCCCCCGTCCCCTCATCCGCAGGTGTGGGACGTGCGCAAGTTCAAGGCGCCCGTGAAGGTGTTCCCCGACCTGCCCAACCACTACCAGCAGACCAACGTCGCGTGGAGCCCCGACGAGCGCCTCTTCTTCACCGCCACCTCCGCTGAAAAGGGCAGCCGCGGCGGGCAGGTGAGGCTGGGGGGACAGGATGAGCGCGGAGGGGGGGTAGAGAAGAGAAGTTGAACGAAAGGAAGGTGAGAGGAAAGTTAGTGCAGGATAGCATGACGGAGAGAGGGTACAATGGAGGGGGGGCAATGAGGAAAGCTGAACAAGGAGGAGTGAGGGACGTGAAGAGCAGTCAGTATGGGTAGACGTGCGGCACGAGGCCATGCAGAAGTTTCCGTACTCGTGATTGGTCCGCACGCTGATTGGTGGTGCATGGTGAGTACGAGCAGGCAGAGAAAGAATGTGCAGGAATGGAGAGAGTGAGGTGAGAGGGCGCCTTGCACCTCCGGTAGTCTTGTCTCCACCATTCACTCACCCTGCCCTCCTTCAAGCACTGCCCTCCTTCAAGCACTGCCCTCCTTCAAGCACTGTCCTGTTTTCCTGCGCTAGCTGCTCGTCTACCTCCTCCACCTTGGTGGGGCGCGTATGGGGGATGGCTTTCCTCGCATCGCTGCACCATCCTCCTCGCACTTGTCTTGGTGCGCTCAAAGCGGGTGCATGGCGCAGCAGATGAGGGTTGCCACCAGGCAACCCTTGAACCAGGCTCTGTCACATTGGTCAACCCTTGAACCAGGCTCTCATATTGGTCAACATGTAAAGCCTTGTACTTTGTCTCAAAGTCTTTGTAGGGTACGAAACCTATGGGACTGATTCTCAACTGAAACCAACCTCAGGACAGCTAGCATGGCATTTATTTGCCAACTTCGCAACGCTGCCTTGCTTATTGTTCTTCCCACCCCCCGCACCACCCGCATCCTACGTGGCCTGACATGTGGACTGACATGTGGCCTGACATGTGGCCTGACATGTGGCCTCACCTCATGCAGCTGCACTTCTACTCCAAGGAGTTGCTGGACCTCGTGCGCGTCACGGGCGTGTCGCCCGACCAGACCGTTGTGCGCGTGCTGTGGCACGCACGCCTCAACCAGGTGGGTGCTGTGGCACGCACGCCTCAACCAGGTGGGTGCTGCTTCTTTCCCACCCCAATCTGATCGCTACTGCTTCCAACCACACTGTCAGCACTCTCATGTGGTCATCTCTTTCCTTTCCATCGGGTCCATCTCCCCATTAGTTTCTCCCAAAACAGGTAATACCCATGTGCAGCCCCAACCCCCATCTCACGCACATCCGTTTTCATCTGCCCCTTCCCGGCACGAAACGAAACCCCACCCTTGCCCGATCTCCACCAGATATTCGCCACATGTGGTGACAAGAAGGCGGGCGGCACGCACATCCTGTACGACCCCACGCTCAGCGAGCGCGGCGCACTCGTGTGTGTAGCGCGGGCCCCCCGTGCCGCCATCCGCAACCCGCACGCGCTGCCCATGTTCCGCGACGAGCCGAGCCGCAAGCGGCAGCGCGAGAAGGCGCACAAAGACCCCGTGGCGAGCCAGCGGCCCGACCTGCCCATGGAGGGGCCGGGGCACGGCGGGCGCGTGGGGCAGACCAAGGGCACTCTGCTCACCCAGTGCCTGCTCCGCATGCGTGCTGCCCCCTGCCCCCTGCCTGCCTGCCCCTTGCCCCCTGCCTCCTGCCCCCTGCCGCCTGCCTGCCTGCTGCTTCCTGCTGCCGCGGCAGTTTTTGTTGAACATGCTGAGAACACGAGAATGGATTCTGGCAGTAGTTGGGATTAAGAGCCTGAGAACCAGTTGTAAGGGACCAATTCCTCTTTTCTTCCTCTCCCCTCCCCGATCCCTCCCCATCTCCCCATCCACTCCCCCTTTTTGAACCTTTATCTCGTGTGTGTGCGGTGCACGGGCAGGAGGGCGGGCTGTTGAAGGAGACGTGGATGGAGGAGGACCCGCGCGAGGCCATTCTCAAGTACGCGGACGCGGCGGCTAAGGACCCGCATATCATTTCCCCCGCATATGCTGCCACGCAGCCCACCACGCTGTTCCATGAGTCCGATGACGAGGACCAGGACTAGCGCTGAGTCGCTGACACACGCTCTAGTCTAGTGTGTAGATTCGTGCAACCCCTCTTTCCACTGACAGTGTAGTTGAATTTTCACATAAAGTTTTGTGATTCACGTCGGCATAGAGCAGTCGCTAGAGTAGCAAAACCCTTGAGCAAAATTGGATGGTTCTTATCGTCAACAACAGAAGGGAGAATCTCAAGTGCGCAGCCTTTGGCTTGGACGCGTTCATCGGCAGGCTGACATGTGTCAAAGTTATATTGTGCATACTTGTTTAGCCTGTATTGAGTTGCATCTCAGGGGGTACATGGTTTCTCTCAACACTCTTCTTGTACCCCTCCCATTTGACCTAATGCCATCGTTCCCTTGGCTATTTTGACATGGTTTCAGAGCTGAGGTTAGGGCCGTTCCTATCCAGCACGGTATTTTTTTTGCTGCCTGTCGCGCGTCACACACCTGTGCATCACGCTGCCCCGCACCTGTGCTTTGCGCTGCCCTTCTGCTCAGCGCGTCACGCGCCCCCGCTGCCCCGCGCGATCCCCTGTCCTTCTACCCCGCGCGACCTGCTGCCCCGCTGCCTTAGCGCAGCCACGCTGCCGCTTAGCAGCCGCTGCGGCCTCGCCCTGCTGCCTCGCTGCCCACTGCCTTCGCGCTGCTGCCCCGCCCCGCTGCCCCTCTGACTGCTTCCCAACTGCCGCCGCTGCTGTTCTCTCCCCCCTTACTGCCGCCGCGGCTGCTGCTGCTGCCAGCCACCGCCACTGCCACTGCCAGCCACCACTGCCACTACTACTGCCAGCCGCCGCCACCGCCGCTGCCAGCTGCATCTACTGCCATTGCTGCCTGCCGCCCCCGCCGCTACTGCCAGCCTCTGCCCCTGCTGCTGCCAGCCGCCGCTACTGCCACTGCTACTGCCGGCCGCCACTACCACCGCCGCTGCCTGCCGCTGCTGCCGCTGCTGCCGCCATCACAGCCGCCACGGCTGCTGCCAGTCGCCGCCGCTGCCAGCTGCAGTTGCTGCCGCTGCTGCCTGCCGCCGCCGCCACTGCTACCAGCCACTGCGGCTGCTGCTGCCGGCCACTACTATTGCCGCTACTGCCGCTGCCACTACTGCCGATGCTGCCACCGTCACAGCTGCCCCTGCTGCTGCTGCACCCGCTACCGCCACTGCTACTGCGCTAGCCACTACTGCTGCTGCCCCTGCCGCCAGCCGCTGCTGCTGCTACAGCTGCTGCTGCTTCCCCTGCTGCCGCCGCCATTGCTGCTGAAACAGCCGATGCGGCCGCCATTGCCATCGCTACTGCTACTACAACTGCTGCTGCTACCCCCTGCTGCCTGTTATTGTTACTCTTACCGTCCTTACTGTTAGAATCTAGCAGCAGGAATGATTGAACTATGAAAGAGTTGGGTACAAATATGAAACCCTAAAGCGGGCTGTACACCATATTGGCTACCCCACTACAGCCTAAACATATATAGCAGATATAACATTTGACACACCCCCATAGGCAAAGTGGGGGAGAGCAAGGGGTCACAAGACCAGTAAAGAGAAGCAAAGCAAGCTCAGGGTGGATCACAACGTCACCACACAAACTGAGCACAAGCAAAGGGCCACAAGGCCAGTTCACATGCAGAGGTATATATGCAACAACAACCGCACAGTGATCTCTACCTAGCAGAACAGGCATGCAGGTATATATATATAGATCACAATACAAGCAAAGTCTACAGCAAGTGAGGCAAAGTGGGCACAAGGCCTAACAAAGTGCAGAAACGCTGATGATCACCAGACGGAAGTGCCTTGGTGAATATATCAGCAGTGTTGGCCCGAGTGGCCATGTGAGCAAGACGAAGCTGACCACGCTGCTGCAACTCTCGAGCCAGGAAGTAACACAGAGCGATGTGCTTCGTTCTGTGCTCCAGTCTGTGCTCCTGACACAAGGCAATGGCGGCCTTGTTGTCGACGTACAGCACTGGAGGAAAACGAGGCCGCTCTCCCAAGTCGGTCAGCAGGTAGGTGAGCCAGTGTTGGTGCAACCCTACGGTTTGCACTCGGCTTGTTGTCCGTGTGCGTGAATGTGTGTGTGTATGGAATGGTATGAGGGCATGGGATAATATATATTTCATGCTTATAATTGTGTGTGAATGTTGAGTCATGATGTCGAGTGTGTGTGTCGAGTCAATAGCGAGTTATCGCTAGACGCGTGTTACGCGGTCGTTTGTGTCTCGCGCGCGGTTTCTATTTTGTCGTGCGTGGTTTCTATTTTGTCCTGTGTCGAACGTTCGGCGTGTCGCAGGTGTGTGCAGCAGACCCATCAAGAACTCAAGGATGAGTTTGTGATGAAGAGCCCGAGCCTTGGTGTCAAGCCTCAAGTGATTTCGAAGCTTGCCAAAAGGGTACACCTCAAGATATTGAAGATAGTTACATTACTTTGTGTAGTGTAACATTTCACTTGGTGTAGGCCCTAGTGAAGGGTAGTTTCGAGACCCTTCGTGGTTGGGGACAGTGTGGCACTGTTCCACATCACTGTACCTCGGCTCTTGGGGTTTGTAGGAGCTGGGAGTCATTCCCAACTCGTAACTCTTCCTATCTTGTGTTCTAAGACTATAGTGGCTGCCATAGTACCGTTCGTTCAAACCGACGCTGTGTCGTCAATTATTTATCAAATCGTGCAATCTAAATTGCTAATTGTAGACGACGTGAATACGCTCCAGATCCAATTTGAATCAAGTCATTTGCAGCTGTGAGCAGAACGCTATCAACGTTTGAAGCCGCTGTGCAGAAATCCGTCTGTGCTCTCTATATTTCGTTTTAGGCACATTCAAGCCTATTGTGACTATAACAAGTGGTATCAGAGCCCCTTGGAGCAGTTTCGACAATGTCTGGACCTGAGGAAAGGGGTGGCAGAGGTGCTGGTGGCAGTGGAGAAGCTCAAGCTCAAGGCCAACCCCGTGATTCAGCCATGGCGCCCATGCAACCAAGTCTTGGCCCACCTAGGGATGAGCCTAGGGTGTTTGGGCTTGACAAGTTCAACGGTGACAACTTTGCTGAATGGTCCTTCAAGATGGAGAACATCTTTGACCACTATGACCTGCTGGAGGTGATGGAAGGAACGGAGAAGCGCCCCGAGAACGACCCGGAGAAGAGCCCGTGGGTGCGGAAGAGCGCACAAGGCTATCTCTTACTTGGGCAAGCGTTGGGGAGCAGTCAGATCCGTCACATCAAGCCATTCCAGCGTGAACCAGAGAAAGGACCAAAGGCATGGGCTGCTCTCAAGGGTGTACATGCTCCTGCAACAGCGGCGGTAGCGGTGGTGTTGGAACGGCAAATGGCGGCACTACGAATTGAAGAAGACGAAGCGGTTGAAGAAGGGGTGCAGAAATTCTTCGACTTGTTGACGCGGCTTGAGGGAGCTGATTTGAACTACATTGAACTCCAAAAGAAGACCAAGTTGCTGGCCTTACTCCCAGAGTCATGGTCCTCGCTCATCATCAACCTTAATCGCGACTTGCCCCGCCTCTCGCTTGAAGACGTGAAGCGAGCTATCCTTCAAGAGGATTTCCGCCGCCGTGAGTTGGCGAGTGCGGATGGCGCTGGGGCAGCGAGCATCGGCCGTGGATATGGTCGAGGAAGAGGCAGAGGACGAGGGGGAGGAAGGTTTGGTGGCAGCAACTTCGGCGGAGGCCGCAGGAGTGGCGGTTACGGCAGCGACGACAAGAGCTACGGACGCGGTCGCGGCCGATTCGACGGCGAGTGTCACTATTGCCACAAGAGCGGACACATGTGGCGCGACTGCTACAAACTCCCTGATGGTTGGACCCCTGCTCAAGGCCAAGAGGGTAGAGGAGCAGGAGGAGGGAGAGGACGAGGCCGTGGAGGCCGTGGCGGTCGCGGTGGATGAGCTGCAAACATGAAGAGCGGAGACAACGACAAGGACCCGAGCGACGATCGATACCCGGGTCTATTCTACTTCATGTCGACGCAAGTACCGGCTGGTCCAGAGAAGGATGAAGGCTTTGAGGAGCCAGCAGCTGTGGGGAAGGTGACCCTACACCCCCTGGACTATTGGGTGATTGATAGTGGCGCTACCTATAGCATGACACCTCGCCCGGACTTGCTCACCGAACTCGAGCCGTCACCGGTGAAGCATGTCACATCGGCTTTGGGGCAGCGAGCAGAGGTGAAAGGCATGGGCAAGGCCATGTTCAAGGGTGCTGATGGGAAGATGGTGGGCCTCAAGAACGTGCTTTGGGTGCCCAGCCTTGCTGCAAACCTGATTTCCGTGCGGCGGTTGGCAAAGGCCGGCATGGACACGAACTCGAAGGGAGCCAAGACCTACACCGCAAGGCTTGGCGATCGAATTCTTTGGGACCTTCATGAGGACAGGGATGTCTACAACGAGATGTGGCAGATCCCAGTGGTCCCTATGCCTAAGGAGAGGCAAGTGGCAGCAAGCATCAGCACCAAGGATGGAGCGGTCGGTAGCGACGATGGCGCGAACGGTCGCGCTAAGGAGAATGAGCTCAAGAAGAGCAAACCTGGAGGGACCAGCAAGTTCAGTGAACCTAAGGAGAGTGGTGCAGCAACCAAGGAGCAGCAAAAGGGTGAGGAGAACCCAGAGGCAGCAGCGGAGGAGGACTACGGAGAGAGTATGTGGGGCGCTATTGCGAGCGCGGCATTCTCCAATCCAACTTCGGCTACGGGGGAGTGTGATTGGCTCACCTTGCATCGGCGCATGGGGCATGTGGCCCTGCCCATCTTGCAGCAGCTAGTGAAGAATGAGATGGTTGCTGGCATACGTGTGAAGGGGGAGCCCGATGAGGTGCTTGGCTGCCCGACGTGCATTCAAGCCAAGTTCACCCGGTTTCCGTTCCCTAGTTCGGAGGCAACGGCAAAGGCACCGCTTGATGAGGTGGTGATGGACGTGGTGGGCCCCCTGAAGCTTGGAGCTGCTGGAGCTGAGTATTTTCTCACCATTGTCGACGTCTACACCCGCATGACTCGGGTGTACGTG